GCCTCGCGCCCTCCCCTGCTGTCGCCGCGGGCTCCGCGGGTGGCAACGAAGCGTCGTGAGGCGCGTAGCCGCGTGACGCGCGCACCTGTCCGGGTGACGGGCCCTGCGGAAGAGGAGGCGCGGCCTGGGGCGCAGGGAAGCCCCCGGGAGCGAGCCCGGCCTGCGCCGCCCCGCGAGAGGAAGTAAGCGCCCCCCGCCGGCCCCGCCGCCTCCCCGGCCCCGGCGCCTCCAATCCGCGCTGCCTCCGGGGCCCCGGACCGCGCGGAGCCCCCGGGGCCTGGCGGCTTCGGGGCTGCTCAGGAGGCGGCCGGCCTCCAGGCTCGCTCCGAGCGGCTGAGCGGCCCTTTCCCTGGGCTTCCCGACGCTGAGTTCCAGGAGAGGGGGGGGCCCGTGCTTTCCCGCGGACCTGCTGAATCCTTGGCCTGGATTGGCCCTCGGGTTTCACACGCGTGTCCTGTACCCCGATCCAGTGCACGGTTTTCCAGAGGCAGACTTCTCTTGGTCTCTGAAAATCAGCTCACCCAACCTTGAATGCTTAGCCAGAAGCGAGAACTTCTGGAAACATCCTTGCCCACTCCCCCTGCACCCCCACCCCCACCCCAACAGGCCCATAGCTCATGAAAGGCAGCAGATGAGGGAACACTGGTGTCAAATGGGCGTATTTTTTATTTTTTCACTTTAATGAAAGATGGGGTCTTGCTCGGTTGCCCAGGCTGGAGTGCAGTGGCACAAACACGGCCCCCTGCAGCCTCCACCTCTTGGGCTCAGGCGCCTCCTGAGTAGCTGGGACCACAGGCGTGCACCACCACACCTGGCTAATTTTTGAACCGTTTGTAGGGACAGCAGCCCCGCAATGTTGCCCAGGCTGGCCTCGAACTCCTGAGCTCAAACGATATCCTGCTTAACCCTTCCAAAGTGCTGGGATTCTAGGTGTGAAGCACCACGCCCAGCCAGCGTATTTTAAATGATGTATCATTTCCCTTTAATTTTTCGTCATTATGATTGGAAGGTCATGATAAGCTGTCTGAGTTATTCCTTGGCATTTTTCTCTGGTGGTTAGTTGGTTTTAACAGCAGTTCAAGAAGCTAGCAAGAAGGACTTCATTCGTGACGGTAATGGCTTGATGATAGAAACTAGCATTTCCGGCTGGGCCCAGTGGCTCACACCTGTAAATCTCAGCACTTTGGGAGGCCAAGGCAGGCGGATCACTTGAGGAGGGGAGTTCAAGACCAGCCTGGCCAACCTGGTGAAACCCTGTCTTTACTAAAAATACAAAAATTGGCTGTGCATGGTGGTGGCAGACGCCTGTAATCCCAGCTCTGAGGAGGCTGAGGCAGGAGAATTGCTTGAACCGTCCTGCCCAACACCCCCCGCCCCCAACCCCGCCGAGGTTGCAGTGAGCCAAGATCATGCCCCTGCACTGCAGCCTAGGAGACAAAGCTAGACTCCGTCTCAAAAAAAAAAAAAAAGCTAGGATTTCTTGGGTGCTTACTGTATGCCAGGCATTGCGCTCAGCGCCTTACCTGGCTCCTATCAATTTGTTTTCCCATTCTGTGGTTGAGGTACAGAGAGGTTAAATAACTTGTCTGAAGTCACACAGTTACTAAGTAGCAGAGATTTGAATCCAGAATATTCTCATGGAGCCAGTTCTCCAAAAACTAGCCCTTGAAGGTTTTCAAGGTTTCAGCAAAGCAACTGAGGCTTACACATGATGTCTTCATGATGTCAGAAGGAAGAACTGTGAAAGGCAAAGTGGACCCAGGAGGCCAAGGCCAGTTACAGCAGTTGGTGTTCAGAGCAGCTTGACTTCATGGAGCAGAGAAGTAGCCTATCTGGTTTGAACCACTGTTCGGTATCTGTACTAATACAGGTTTTTAAATTTTGCCATTCAGGGATGTAGTCACATTTTATAGGAAGGTTAGCTCTGGGACCAGACTGCCTGTTTTCAAATCCTGTCACCTCTAGCTCCTTGACCTCTGGTAAGTTACTGGACTTCTCTCTCTCTCTCTTTTTTTTTTTTTTTTTCTTTTTTGAAATAGAGTCTTGCTCTGTCGCCCTGGCTGCAGTGCAATGGTGTGATCTCCGCTCACTGCAACCTTTGACTCCTGGGTTCAAGAGATTCTCCTTCCTCAGCCTCCTGAGTAGCTGGGCTTACAGGCACCTGCCACCACGCCTGGCTAGTTTTTGTATTGTTAGTAGAGAGAAGGTTTCACCATGTTGGCCAGGCTGGTTTTGAACTCCTGACCTCCAGTGATCCCCCTGCCTCGACTTTTCAAAGTGCTGGGATTGTAGGTGTGAGCCACCACATCTGGCTCCGTTATTTGGCTTCTTTTTGCTTTAGTTTCCTCTCTACTCACTGCTAAAGTGGAGATAATCATGGTACCTACTTCTTACGGTTGTGGCAAGATTTAAATGGTCTGATGCATGTCATACTCATAGCCTAGCATTTGGCATATCGTTAAATACTCCATAAATAGCTCTTTGATTATTAAAAGTGTTGTTTCAAGTTGTAAGCTGCTGCTAATGTGTGCTGTGTCGCTTTGCTTGAAGTCACCATTAGAGATGTGTTTCTTTCAAATGCAGAAATGACAGTGGTCCTGTGCAAATGGGATTTATTTGTTCATTCGGCAGATATTTATAGAGCGCCTTCTGTATGCCAGGCCTTGTTTTGGATACCGGAGGTACTGTGGAGAAAAAAGCAAACAAAAGTCCCTGTTCTCATTGGCACACACAGTCTTGGGGAAAGGAATGGCAGACAATAGGCAAAATGAATGTAAGGATCATGCAGTGTATTAGAAAGCGACGTACACTGGAGAGAAATAAAGCAGGAGAGGAGGATGGGGGGGTGGGCGGTTTACAATTTTAGAGTGGTCTGAGTAAGCCTCACTGAGAAGATGACATTTTAGCAAAGAACTGAAGTTAGTGAGGGAGTAAACCATGTGGATGTGGTGGGGAACATGAGGGAGTCAGCCAGGCGGAGGGTACAAGTGCAAAGGCCCTGGGGCAGAAGCCTGGGCGGCCGGAGCCTAGATGGACAGGATGGTAAGAGGAGCGCTCCAAGATGTAAAGGGCGGGAGGCCAGAATGTATAGACTTTGCAGACGTCTGCACAGAGGAATGACATGATCTGGCATAAAAAGGTCACCCTGACTGCTGTCTTGAGGCTTAACCATAGAGGGTCGGGAGTTAGAGGAGGCCAATTAGGAAAGTTGCCACAGTAATCCAGACAGATGACAGTGGCTGGCACCAGAGTGGCTTGGTGGAAGGTGGTGAGAAGCAGTTGGATTCTAGATTTTTTTTTTTCTTGAGACGAAGTCTTGCTCTGTCACCAGGCTGGAGTGCAGTGGCGCAGTCTCGGCTCACTGCATCATCTGCCTCCTGGGTTCAAGTGATTCTTCCGCCTCAGCCTCCCAAGTAGCTGGGACCACAGTCACATGCCACCACGCCCAGCTAATTTTTAGTAGAGACAGGGTTTGACCATGTCAGCCAGGATGGTCTCGATCTCTTGACTTCGTGATCCGCCTGCCTTGGCCTCCCAAAGTGCTGGGATTACAGGCGTGAGCCACCGCGCCCGGCCAGATTCTAGATAAATTTTGAAGATAGAAACTACAGGATTTGCTGACAGATCAGATGACCCCAAGGTTCCTGGGTCTGAACACCTGGAAGGGTAGAGTTGCCGTTTACTGAAAATGGGGAAAACTACATTGGAAGCGGGTTGGGAGATAAAGCAGTTCAATTTTGTACATATTAAATCTGCCAGACACGTCGCTAATGCTCTCAAAGTAGCAGTTGATTGATGAGTCTGGAGTTTAGGGTAAGTTTGGGCTGTAAACAGAGACTTGGGCACACAGGCAGTTGTGTGCTGTAATGTCTACCAGCAGACTTCGTGAGGGGTGGGGAACTTAATCAATAGTCTAGGCCAATAAATGTGGTGTAAATAGTCCCAAGTTGGCCAACTTCAATAGAATGTCTTCACCTCATAGATGCAGTGGAGATACATAATATCAAGAGCATAGATATTAGTGAAATGTAGTCAAATGATTAGGAAGTAATGAGTTTTGAGTATTTATTACCCTTTTAATATAATTTATTTAATGATTTTTTTTTTTTTTTTTGAGACAGAGTCTTGCTCTGTCACCCAAGCTAGAGTATAGTGGCACAATCTTGGCTCACTGCAACCTCTGCCTCCTGGGTTCAAGCGATTCTCCTGCCTCAGCCTCCCAAGTAGCTGGGGTAACAGGCATCTGTCACCACACCCAGCTGATTTTTGTATTTTTAGTAAAACGGGGTTTCTCCATGTTGCCCAGGCTGGTCTTGAACTCCTGGGCTCAAGTAGTCCTCCCGTCTCGGTCTCCCAGAGTGCTGAGATTACAGGCATGAGCCACCGTGCCTGGCTATTTAATTATACATTTATATAACTGTTTTTAATAATGGCCATGTTGAACAACTGGCTTGAAAATTCCTAGAAATTGAGTAGTCGGCTCTCGCGTGCAGGTATGAGGCGGCTCCAGCACATCCCTGGTTATAGCGACCCAGGACAGGTACTTAAGATGGGAATGAGGATTCTCTGAGATGAGAGAGGAGCAAGGACCCCAGAGCCTGATCTGGAAGCTTTTGCCCCCATTCTGGCCCTGAGGGCAGTGAATGCAGATCAGAGGTCATTGACAGCAGGCTCGATTTTTATCTACATTGATGGGTTCAGCATAAATGGACCAGAACAGGCAGACTGCAAAAACAAACAGACAAAAAACTTGGGTTGGCTATTGTGAAAAGACGAGGCACATCACCTTGTGCTTTAGTTTAAAATGATCTTTAGTTTGAACTTTTGTTTTACTCCCACATGTTCTTTTTAAAAAATTCCAAACTCATGGGTCACGGTTTGAATAAAATTTCCCTTCCTCCTGCCTGGCGCACAGAAGGTAACGTCAAAGGCCGGAAGAGGGAATAGGGCAGCAGCAGACATTGACCTTTACCTCCCAGCTCCTCTCTCCCACCCCTTGTCTGCTGGGCACCGAGGATTAGAACTGCATCCTCCTGTGGTTTACCAGAAAACGCTCTGCGGCTGGAGCTTCAGCACAGGCTGGGTCTATCTGTGCCCGGTCTGGTCGGGGACAGCTGCATGCCTCTTCCGCTTGGGTGAAAACAAAGGCCGGAACCTGAATTCTGATCCAAACTCCCTGGCTGGCCAAGCCAGTGTTCCCACCTACTGGGATGTTAGCAGAGCCCTTTAACTGGTAAGTCTCTCCCAGGATGACTGGTAGGAGCCTCTCAGGATTAGAGTTAGAGACAATGAAGGGTGCCCGGGACTGGGCCCGTGTGCCCGCAGTCAGCCCTGGCTCTAAGATGAGCCGTCAGAAGAACGTCTTTTCCACCTACCTACAGGATGCCTCCGCAGCACTTTGTTTTGTAGTGAGTGTATTTCTGGCAAGTATCTTAAATAAGAATTGTAAATGAAATTGCATCCTCCACACACGTAAGTCATAGCTTCAAAGAGCTTTGTCTTGACTGCTGAATGACGCACAGTTAGCAGCCCTTGGCTTCATATTTTAGTTCTCTGTTTCCCCGCCTGGCTGCTGAGGTCAAAGCTCGAAGCACTCTTGTGCCTTATGGAAATATGGAGGGCAGCTCCCAGAAAATAGGGTGCGGATCTTCTTTTCTCGGCAAACAGGACTTAGGGACACTGAAAGATCACACAGATCCTTTATCTCACCCTCCCATTTCCTAGAAGAGGAAACTGAGGCCCAGCCAGGCTAAATGACTTGCTCAAGGTTATGTAGTTGTTTAGAGGCAGGGCCCTGACAGGAGGCACCACGCATTCCAGTTCCCAATCTGATGCCCACTCCTACAGCTGCTCAAACTTTCACTAAAGATTTTCTCATTGATTTATCCATTTTTTAAAAAGAAGTGATTCGTAGTCGGAAAAGCCTTTGAAAGGCTACTTGCAGGCTCTTTGGCTAACTTCAAGTATGGAATTTTGGAAGATTTATTTCACAGCCCATTCCTCTCAGGGCAGGCAAGGAGGCAGAGGGGAGAAGTGCTTCAGAAAAAAACCTTCTGAAGCAGAGCCCTGCACTGAGGGGGAGGCGTGAGCCCAGGAGATGTGGTGGAGCTGTCTGCACCTCTGCCCCGGAGGCTGTGGTCCCCCTGTTCCTGACTTTGACTGAACTGGGCTTCTCTGGGCCTGCTTATTTCTCTCTCAGGGCAGCAGGGAGGATGACCAAGCCAGCCTTCCTCCTGCTGCTTTCAGACTAGCTGGGGTAAGCTAGGAAACAGGGTGTGTTCTTCAGTGCTGTCTGTAGAGCCTGGCTCTGTAGCCCCAGGAGAGGAGGGAGGTTCACAGTGTTTTTCCTGACAGCAGTGGTATTATGCCACCCTTGGGGGCCAGGAAGGTACTTTGCATTTGATTAACTTAATTAATTAACATTCGTACAGCAGTTTTGTCACGTGTATCATCTCAATTAATCCGCACCCCCCCCCCTCAGTTGATGGTACTTGCCCTGTTTTATAGATGAAGAAATGTGGGCCCTAAGGCTCCAATCATCTACCTGCTGTTACGGAAAGGAGTTCAGTCATGGCTCACTGCAGCCTGGACCTCTTGGGCTCAAGTGATCCTCAGCCTCCTGAGCGGCTGAGACTACAGACATTGCCACCACGCCCAGCTAATTTTAAAAAATTTTTTGTAGAAATGGTGGTCTCACTATGTTGCCCAGGCTGGTCTGGAACTCCTGAGCTCAAGCGATCCTCCTGCCTTAGCCTCTCAGAGTGCCGGGATTATAGGCTTGAGCCATTGTGCCCGACCTAATTAGCTGATTTAATTAGATCACGAAGCTAGGCAGTGATCTTGACCCAGGTCCTTGGACCCAAATGCCACAATCTTCTGCTTGACTAAGGAAGCTGTTTAGCGTCATGACTGAGGGCCCAGACTTTGTGGCTTGACGGTTTCTTTCACCTTCCAGTTTCCTTGTCTGTAAAATGAGACTCCTCACAGAACCCCCTCCAGGAGACTGTTGTGAGGAACGATTGAGACGGTGCATTTAAGTCATTGGTACACGCTAACTACTTGGTAAACATAGGTATTATTAATGGACTCGGGAACAACCAGTTTTTACAGGGGGATGGGCAAATGAAACCATTTGAGACTGTTTCGAAATACAGTGTTAGGCCCTGCCCTGTACCTAATGAATCGGAATGTCTTTGTCTTGGGAAAGGGAGCAGGAGGCGACGTGTGCGTGTTTATTCTGATGCCCTCCTTGGATGAGCGTCATTGCTCTAGAACTCTTTGCTCTTAGTACTCACTGCTCAGTATTCCAGAGTCTTGCTGCTCAAAGTGTGCTCTTGGACCAGCTGTCAGCACCTCAGGTACCTCTCCTTCTGCATCAGAATCTGCCTTTTAAAAAGATCCTCAGGAAATTCAAATGCTCATGAAAATTTAAGAAACACTGTTAAGGTTAAAAAACATAAAAAAAAACAAATACACATACCATCCCCACTCATTTAGGAAAGAGTTGTTCTCTGGTTGTTTTGCAACCACAGAGTAAGCAACCATGTTGTAATACCCAATATCTTGGATTTGTTTATAGGAGTGCTGGGAACATAAGTAACAGATAAGGGAGGCCAGCCTGAGAACTGGGGACCCACAACAGGACTGCTCAGTGAGGACTATGGCAAACCTGAGTCAGAACAGGATTAAACAGAAGGCCAGGAGTCACTTCAGGCCAGGTGGCCGTCTGTCACAGCTGCCTGCAGTCTTCTGGGGTGGGGGCAGGGGTGCTGGCCCTTGGGGCTCCCCCACCTGCCCATGCCAGCACTCTGGGGGCTTAGCTCCTCCCTTTGTACCAGGCACATCCAGAGCACTGGCTACCAGGATCCGATCAGCAGCTCTGAAGCGCAGCCTGCCAGCTGGCGGCTCCTCCTTCTCCACGCTGTTCTCTGGGCTTCAGATTTCTCGCTGCCTCTCTCCCGCGCTGACCTTGCAGCTTCTCCTTCCCTCCAGACAGGGGTGAGATTGCCAGTTGAGGAAAAAATGCTTGAAGGGCCAAGGTCAGGGACTGGAAAGCAGGAGGAAAGAGCAGAATGGTCCTGTGGTCCGTGCGTGTTTTTAGGGGTGAGTGCAGATACAGGGAGCAGGGGAGAGGAAGGCTGGGGAGCCACTGGTGGCCCCGATCCTCTAGTTAAAGCTCCAGTAATGGACGCACCATGTGTCCTGTAGACACTGGCTCAGACACTGTTGTTGGGGCCTCATCTTGGGTTGGTCACTCACTAGGACCCTCTCGGAGATGGATCTTGAGAGAGATGAGGACAAGGCAAAGGGGGTGGTGGGAGGAGGGGGTCTGATGTCAGGGTCAAGAGGCAGATTTGTCCCCTCTGTATAGGGATGGTGGAGAGGTCATTGGGCCGGTTCTGTGGGGCCTTTGTAAGTTATCTCTTTAAACCTCAGTTTCCCCATTTGTATTACCAGATTACAGCTTCCTGAAGTTGCCAAAGATTTTGTTAATCCTTTACCTGGTAAAATGCCTGACATATAGCAGGTGCTAATCAGCCATCTCAGTTCCTTCTTCACTGCTACCACCTGCAGGCTGGGCCCCATTTCCACCGTGGATTTCCCACTAGTTCCGATGGGCATGCCGGCCGTAGTTACTTTCCCCCTCACTTCCTTCTTCCCTTCCCTCCAACACTGGCCTTGGTTGGAAACTAGAGAGCTGGAGAACTGTGGAGGAAGCATTCAGCACGTGAGGCCCTACAACCTTTGTTAGAACAGAAGGCCGGAAAAAACAAATGCTTGGTGCGTTTGTGACGCACCCCAGGTCTCTACCTCTCATGCACAGCAGCTCCTTCGGTTGAGGCTGAACCCTGCTCGGGTGGTTTGCTTCCCTGGGGGAGGTCGTAGCCTGCAGCGGCTGCACAGTGTCAGCCCCAGCACCCCTGCTTTCTTACCCTGGGACCCTCATTGACCCGAGCCTCAGCTTTCCCATTTGCAGAATGAGAAAACTGTAACAGAAGCCACCCCATGTTGTTCTTTCCAGAATTGTCTGGATTCAGTGAGCTCTAATGCACATAAGTACTTAGTGCCAGCACTAAGTGTTAGCTATTATCACTCTTCCAGGATCACACCTACCACTTGGTACTTAACAGGCGGTAGGCATAGGCCTAAGCGCATTATAAGCATGAACTTCTTTTATCCTTATAACAACTCTGGTGTAAGTACCACTGTTACCCCCATTTCAGATGAGAAAACTGAGATACAGCCAGGTTAAATAATTGTGCAGTTACTAAGGGGTTGTACTGGGATTCAAACTCATGCAGTCTGCCTGGAGTCCATGTTTTCTGTCACTGTGCTGCAGCAGTTATTACTCAGCATTTTGTAGTCGGAGCCCAGTAGACATGGAGAAGAGGAAAGTGAGAGGTGAGAGGAGGTGGTTCTACCCTCTCACTGTTGCAGCTGTCACCTGAGGACCTGCAGCTATTCCTAGGCTGGGGCTGCCTTACTTATCCAGGTGACCTGTGCTCCTGGAGTACACCAGCCTTGGTCATCAAATGGACAGCTCCACTCCCAGGCCCGTGGCCCTTCCTAGTGGCCTTTGCCACTTTCCCATGCTCCTGGTAGCAAAGTGGTTCACCTCTAGCATGCGGCCTCTAACTTTCCCAGGCAGAGTCCCCGTCTACAGGGCAGGCTCCCTATCCACTGACTTCCTGGCACAGAAGCCCAGCTGCCAGGAGGGAGGGACAAGCTGTGGGCCTCTAACATATTCTTAAGGAACACGTGGTGGTGGTTTCTTGCCAGGCAGGAAATGTTTGCTTCACATCACGGCTACCTGAACCATGTCTGATCCTTCCTTGTTCCTCATCCGTCTCTCTGTGCTTTCCAGGCACCCAGGCATGTGGAAGATGCTCACAGTGGCGATGTGTGTGGCCCTTCTGGGCTGCCTGCAGGCCCAGGAGCTCCAGGGACACGTCTCCATCATCCTGCTGGGAGCAACGGGGGACCTGGCTAAGAAGTACTTGTGGCAGGGACTATTCCAGCTGTACCTGGATGAAGCGGGGAGGGGCCACAGTTTTAGCTTTCATGGAGCTGCTCTGACAGCCCCCAAGCAGGGCCAAGAGCTCATGGCCAAGGCTCTGGAATCCCTCTCCTGCCCCAAGGACATGGAACCCAGTCACTGTGCAGAGCACAAAGATCAGTTCCTACAGCTGAGCCGGTACCACCAACTGAAGACGGCCGAGGACTATCAGGCCCTGAACAAGGACATTGAGGCACAGCTCCAGCCCATGGGCCTCCGGGAGGCTGGCAGGATTTTCTACTTCTCAGTGCCGCCCTTCGCCTATGCAGACATTGCCCGCAACATCAACAGCAGCTGCCGGCCAGGCCCAGGCGCTTGGCTGCGGGTTGTCCTTGAGAAACCCTTTGGCCATGACCACCTCTCAGCCCAACAGTTGGCCACAGAACTCGGGAGCTTTTTCCAGGAGGAAGAGATGTACCGGGTGGACCATTACCTGGGCAAGCAGGTGAGCATCAGCGTGGAGCCTGCCAGGGTTGGAGTAGGAGCTGGGTGGTGGCAGGAGCTGGGTGACCCCAGCAACAAGGACACCCACTCATTGTGGAGCTGGGCCCCAGGGCACTGTGAACTCGGAGCTCCCATGGTCTCCTGAAAGTGGGCAGGAGGTGAGGGGTCAAAGGAAAGACAGCAGCAGGCAGGACTGTTGGGTCCTTGTCCATGTGTCTGGCCTCTTTTGTCCTTTGGGCTCTGGCTTCTCACGCCTGTCCTGCATCCTCTGTAGAGGTGGCCCAGGGACTCCAGTGTCTGGATCTGGCTTCCTGTTGGGTGTGCTGTGGGAATTAGAATGAGCTTTCTTCTCCTGCACTCATCTACCTTTTTTTTTTTTGAGACAGAGTCTTTCTCTGTCACCCAGGTTTGGAGTGCAGTGGCACGATCTCGGCTCACTGCAACCTCTACCTCCTGGGTCCAGTGATTCTCCCACCCTAGCCTCCCTAGTAGCCTCCCAAGTAACAGGCACACACCACCACGCCCGGCGAATTTTTTGCATTTTTAGTAGAGACGGGGTTTCACCATGTTGGTCAGGCTTGTCTCAAATTCCCGACCTCAAGTGATCTGCCCACTTTGGCTTCCTAAAGTGCTGGGATTACAGGTGTGAGCCACTGCACCTGGCCTCATCTACCTTTTTTCAAAATCTTTTTCTTCCTGAGTTCTGTGTTGAGCCAGAAGTTTGGCAACAAGAGCTTAAACCAGGGAGCAGTGGGACCCTAAGCCCAAGCCCTGGGGAGGAGCATATGGTAACCTCCTGGGTGACACATGTCAGTCACTCAAAATGCCTTGGAGGCCCTTGGGGGCATCCTGTCCCAGAAACCCCAGCAGAGAGCACAGCAGCCCTGTGTTCTGGTACTGAGCCCAGGTGGTGCGGGTGGGTACAGGCAGCTGTTGAGAAGAGAGACATGGTTTCTATCACACCCTGTCTGGAGTTGCCCATAGCTGGATTCCTAAATAGCAGTCCTTAGACCTGGGCCATTCCTGGGGAGGTTTTCACTTGTTAACGGCAAGATGAGAAGAAATACTGAATGTGCTCAATTTGAAGCTTTTCTTACTACATTTTTGGTGTTAAACCTATCTTTATTAAAAAATGGTTATACTGGAAGATACGTAATTTTGAATATTCTTTTTCTTGGCAAAATACAAATCCAGTAACCCTTTGGAGGTCACTTGCAAATTTTTGGAGGCTTTACTGGCCCATGAGACCCTGAAGTCCAGAACTATTGCTCAGAGGGCATCTTCTGGTCTGAGGAGGGAATAGAGCGGGCAGAGCCCTTCCTGGGGGCCAGGGTTCCTCCTTCATCGTGAGAGGACCCTGCAGCACACCGTCTTCGTCCCGACAGGCCGTGGCACAGATCCTGCCTTTCCGAGACCAGAACCGCAAGGCTTTGGATGGCCTCTGGAACCGGCACCACGTGGAGCGGGTGGAGATCATCATGAAGGAGACCGTGGATGCCGAAGGTGTGTGAGTGGCCCTGTGTGCTGGGTCGCTCAGCCTCTGCCTGCCCGCTGTCTGCAGTGAGGCCTTGGCCGCTTCTTAGAGGGAGGTTTTCTGTGGGTGTATGGTCTCCCTTCGAGTCTGCCGTGTGCCCAACTCTGAACTGGACTAAACCCCAAGGTGCCGGCTGGCAAAGCCCAAGTAGCCATTGCTGCCCGTGGGGAGCGTATAGTCCAGAGAAGTAGGCCTGGCAAAGACTCCGGAAATCACTGGCACGCAGCAGAGGCTGGAGTTTCACTGAGCTCCCAAGTGTGTAGAGACTGTGGGAGCTGTGTGAGGGCTCCTCTGACTGCGGTGCTTGCAGCTGTGGCACCCCTGCCCGGGCACTGCCCCTCGGGTCCCCCTCACCTTCTGACCCCTCTCTCATGTTAGTTCTCAGCTCCATGGCCCTCTAGGAAGGCTTTCTGAGCCCTGCAGGCCCGCTGCCCTCACCCTCACGGTGCCGCACTCCTCCTGCCGCTGCCCTACACGGTGTTGCCCTTGCCTCGTCCTTGTCCACCCTGTCTCCTGCCAGCCTGTGGACTACAGGAGGGCACCTCTTCTCCGGCACCTGCCACACACCTCAGATGCGCTGAGTAAGCCCCTCGGAGGTGGGGGGCCTGCATCAGGCCCACCTCTGCCTTCAGCTGGGTGGCCTCAGCATGTCACTCCTTGAAGCTGTGAGATGAGTACGTCCTGTCAACAAGGACAGCTCATGTCCCTTTGGGACCTGGCATTCGTGATGGTAGCAAAGTTTTGGAGCATTGACCGTGAATATGTAAAGCCCTGGCTCTTGCCCAGTAATGATAACAGCTAATGTTTACTATGTGCCCGTTACCCAGCCGCCGGGGGAGGTGGGCGCCGTTATTGGCCTCCTTCCAGATGAGGATGGTGGCGAGTCCACAGCCCATGGTGGAAGGTGGTGGAGCCTGATTCTGGGGGCAACAGTCTGGCCCCAGCACCCGGACCTGGCGCCGCCGCCTGGTGCTGCCAGCGCTGCGTCAATGGCCAGCTCATCCCCGCGGCCACTTTCCGCAGCTGCAGCGGGAGCACCCGAGGCCACCGCCCCCTCCCCCAGCCCCCACAGTGCATGCCGACACAGGGCAGGGCCCAGAGCCCTGGACCCAGGGTGGGCCAGGAGGTTTCTCCTCTTTTTCTCTCTATCTTGCTCTTTCTCTGGGCCATTTTCCTCTCATTCTTTTTTTCCCCTTGGTTTCTCTCTTCAGCTGTTTCTCCACTCCTCTCTGAATGTGTATTTAGTGCCAGAAGCTGTCTGCGGGGCTGAGATGCCAGTGAGGTATGAGACTCAGCCTCTCGGATACGGCTCCCTAATACTGCTCAGATTCTTGGGTGCTGTAGGGGGTGATGATCTCATCACACGGGCTGTAGGACAGACGCCAAAATGGAGCCAGGCGCAGTGGTGCGCCCGTAGTCCCAGTTACTCGGGGGCAGAGGCAAGAGGATCATTTGAGCTCAGGAATTGGACACCAGCCTGGGCAGCATAGTGAGACCCCATCTCTGAAAAAGAAAACAATATGGGTGACAGGTGTTGCAGGCAGGCAGTGCGGTCGGGGGGTGACATGGGCGGGAGGCCAAGCAGGACTTCCCCAGCCAGGCCTTGAAGGACATTGCTGGGCTCTAGAAGGCACTGGGTTTCTCTACTCCAGCATCCACAGCAGAAAAGAGGCCCTGCCCCCTGCAGTGAGCCTTGGTGGGTCTCAGGGAATTGTCCTCCAGCCCTTGCAAGCTTCCCCTCCCTGTCCTCAGCCAGGGCTCCGGCCGTGGCTTTCCTCCCGCACCTGTGTGTGTGTGATATCCTGGCAGGCACATGTGCTGGGCCTATCCCTGCTTTGTCTTCAGAGAAGTGAGCTGCACCTGGTGCAGAGAGCATGGAGCAGAATGGGAGGGGCCCCTGCCCCCGCTGCAGCCTGCAGGCCGGCACCTGCACCCCTCCACCTGGACTTGGCTCCATCCCCAGTGACGCTGGGATACCAGGACTCCTCCTCTCTCCCCTTTCTGGCAAGTCCTTTCTATCCCCACCCTGGGCTGGGGAAGAGCTGTGATGTCTGGAGTTTATCTGTTGGTGCGTTGCCTCTTAGTTTTTCCAACCCTCCTACTTTGTTTCCTTCTTGGTATCTTGTGTCATATGTGGGTTCTTTGCAGGTCCCATGGAGCCAGGGACCAGGCAGATTGCAGGCCTGATTATCCTAGCAAAGGTACTTTCAGATTTTGGAGAAAGAAAAACAGAAGACAAGAAAGACAGGCAGAGCTCTGAGCAGGTCTGTTTGCCGAGACAGTCTGAGGATGTTGGGTTTGAACAGCAATACAACAGCCTGGGCTGGCTGTCCTCAGGGTCCAGGAGGGAGAGGCACCCGGGGCCCTGTTGTCACTAAAGCAGGCCCAGCTTGCCTGCCAAGGGGGCTCTGGGGGCGGGTCCACTGCTCCTAAGCTCCAGAGTGCAAGGCCTTTCATTCAGCTGGGCCCTGCACCTTCAGCCCAGGGGCAAAGGGGGCCTCAGTGCAGGACAGGCAGTGGGGGATCCACTAGTCCTGGGGGCTTGCAGCCTGTCATGCTGAGGCCTGAGTGGGGCTGGTTCAGTCCACGCTCCTTGTCAGAGGTGGCCAGCAGGACTGCAATTGTCCTGGGGTTTGGGCCTCAGTGTTTGGCTTGTTTACCTGCCATTTATAGACAGAGGCCTGAGACAGCTGAGAGCAGGGAGGGACTGCCTGCTGCTGCGCCCAGCCCCCAGCAAGAGGGCCTTGGACACAGGGTGCTTTGGCAACAGAATGAGCTCACTTGCTCTCTCTCTGTCTCTCTCAATTTTGTGTGCCTGCGTGCCAGAGGACACATTCTGTCTGCATCCCAAGAAGGTGGCCTGGTGCAGCCCTGCTGGCCCCAGCACTGTTCTGTGCTGTCCCCTCTGGGTTCTGCTTTGGAGCCAGCCCCTCAGGGGCCCCCTGCCTGTGGTTCAGGCTGGAGAGAAGGGACAGGCACCGTCAACCTGCAGTGTACCCTAGCACGGCCAGGAGCCTTGTACCCAGCACAGCAGGGCCTAGGCTGCCACTATGCCCCAGATGAAGATGGGAAACAGGCAGGAGGAAACGCTGCCTCCTGCTGGACTTTGGTGGGCTTAGCAGGCGAGTGCCGCTGCAGTGGGGCTTAGCGTGGGCGGAACTTTTCCAAGGCAGGATTCAGAGCCCCACAGTCTGACTGCTAAGCAGAGGAGCAAAGTGCAGGGCAAACCATTCTTCCCAACTCCCCGCCCCACGTACACCACAGGCCATTTTCCCTCACTCCCCCACCCTGTGCTCTGCCCCTGCCAGAGGTTCTGGTAGATCCCAGCTGCCCCCCACCTCTGCAGTTGTGCAACCCTAGCTGACTCCTAGGCAGGAGTGACATCTGCGTAACCCAAGCCAGCACCCTGAGTGCTGGGAAGGGAGGGGCTGCAAGCCAGGCCTGGGAAATAGAGTGTTCCTGGTCTAGAGCTGCTGCAGGCCCCAGGAAAGGGACTTCTGAGCTGCAAGGTCGTTTGGATGTCTTCCCCACCCCCATCACACACATCTAAGTGGGTGCAAGTGGCTTCCCCAGCTCCCTCCCCTCCCTTTCCCTCAATCCTCCATGCTGGGTGAGTGGTTTTTTTTGTTTGTTTTGTTTTAATGCTGCAGCCTCTGGCCCAGAGGAGTTTGCTGCAGAGTCAAGCCTGCTGCACAGGCCAGAGTGGGTGGGGAGGAGGAAAGGAAGAAGCGATCTGGTACCCAGCTCCCATGCAGCCTGACCTGGGTGCTGCTTCCGCTTATCCAGTCTGTGAGCCCTGAGAGTCACAGCTACCCTGGGTACCCTGATTGGGGTCTCCTGAAGCAGCATGAACCATAGAAGGAGAGTCACTGCACCATCTTCATCCCAGAGACGACCCTGGCTGGCCCTCATCATGGCGTCGGGAGGGGCTCTGCAGACAGGCGGGCCCATGTGATTAATGGGTTGCGTTCAGCTGTCTGGGTCCAGCTCCCTTTTCTGTCAGGAGTGCTGGAATCAGAACCAAGGTCTCTGGCACCTCAGAGCCCGAGCCTCTAACCACTGAGCTCCATAGCCTCCCAATCTGGCCAGGCCCTCAGTAGTTGGCCTCCCTGCTGGAACGCACTCAGGGCCAGGCTCTCTGCTGCCCTGGTTTCCCCTCTGTGTAGAAGGCCTGCTGTTGTTGCTGTTGTTGTTGTTGTTGTCGTTGTCGTTGTTGTTGTTGTTGTTTTAGAAGGCAGGAGGGAGACTTCCTGAGGATGTCACTGCTGGGGAGGGTTCCTGTCCTGACATGGGGAGAGGAGCCTGATTTGTGTCCACCTCTGAGGGCTGGAGTGACCGTTCAGTGCCTCTCACCAAGGGACCAGGGCAGCCAGGGTCTTTCCAGGCACACACCAGCTGTCCTGCCTTCCAGCCTCGTGTGCCAGAAGGGGCCGGGAGCTCGCTCAGCAGGGCCGGTTCCCCTTCCCGCCCCATCTGCAGAGCTGTCTGCAAGGTGAGCCCAGGGCAGCTGCTGGACCTCCTGTCCAGAGAGAGCACCAGCCAGCACACTGCGCTCTCCTTGGCCCTCACCTCTTTTTATTTTTAGTAATCCCAGAAGGCGTCGATAGGGATTGCAGCTGGCTCTTAGTTGTTTGTCTGTCTCTTTTTTAATCTATTTTTTGTTAGGAAAACCTGGATTTCCCACAATGTGGAAGCAATAAGGAGGTGGCTTCTGGTCCCGATTCTGAAGGCTGTGACCTTCAGCACACCTCTGTGCAATGCCGATAGCCCCAATACCTCTCTCTTGGTAATTTTAAGGATTAAATCAGATAATGCACACAGAAATACTTTACAAATGGAGGTGTTGTTCTTCTTCCAAGTTTGCAAGGAGAGGTAGCGGTAGTGTTCTTGCAGTGTGTCTGAGTTCCACGTGACTTATATTGGATGATTATGTAAATCCTGTAATTGATCTATCATACTCTTTTATGTC